ATTAATATCAATCCAGTAAATTCATTTCTGAGAGTTGGTGTGATAGCTGGGAGTAAGTTCACAAATATATCTGTAATATAAATAGCTACACCCATCATGATCGCAGAGAGGATAATAGCGGTTATTCCTCTAAGATGATTTTTATTTTTTTTGATTTTAGTTTGATTTTTGATATCGATATCGTTAATTTCATTTTTTGTTATTTTAGATGTTTCTTCAGGTATGATTGTGATTGTATGATTATCAGGATCTGTATTAACAGATAGAGTATATATTAATTTTCTTCTTGGTCCATCGAATAAATTTTTATTTATGATTATTTCATTTTCATTTTCTACAATTTGTGGTTTATCAGATAAAGTTTTATCCGTTGTTGGAGTTGGTGTTAGTTTCAATACTTCTTTTTTTGAAAGTGGTGCCATTATTGTTTTATACGATTTATGTTTACAGATATTGAAAAGTAAATAGAATATAGGAAAGATAACAGAAAGGTATCTAGATATTACTACTGTTTCTTTTCCTTTGATTAAAGAATTATAATGTTGTAGGTTGAAAAGTATTAATAAGATATATGATAAAGTAACGAGAAAAACTGGTGATATTGTTAATTCAGCATTTTTTTGACGAAAAAATTGTTGCTTGTGTTTTTGAACAATGATAGTGAATCCATAAACAAATAATTAATTGGATAATATAGATCCATTCAAAGATAATTTTGCGATTTCGATTTCTCCATTGTATACACAGACGATTCCGATAATTAATTCAGGAAAGTTTCCTATAAAATTAGCATAAATAGCAGTTATGACACTACCATATTCTTCTTCGATAATTTCGGTTTTTTTACCAAGAAAAGCAGATAATAATGATAACGTGATGAAACACATGATAAAGGTAAGGATTTCATTCCAATTCAAAAAATGAGAGACGAGATTCAAAGTAACGAAAAGGAACAGAAACAAATCTAGAATTTTCGATTTATTTTCTCGAATGTTTAAATTCATGATTATTGTTTAGTGTGTTTTATTATAGATTTTTTTATTGTTTAAATATTAAAATTATATTAATAATTAAAACTTAATTAATCTAAATCGAAAAATATTGAGAACAAAGGAAGTAAGACAAAAATGATTATGTGAAAGATAAGAAATTCCATGGGAAACAAAAGAATATTCGATAAAATATTTATTATTAATAAAAGAACAATTGTAACTTAAAAATCACGAGATAAAAAAAAATAGAACAAAAGATTAAAATCGTGATTTCATTTGATGATATTTTAACAATGTACTGATGTAATTATTTAAGTTTTCGTGATTGTTAACTTTATATAATTGTTGGATTAGATATTTTAATAATGATGTTTAATAAAAAAAATATAAAAATTCAGAAAAAAAAAAAAAACAAAAAAAATCAAAACGTCACAAAATTTTTACAAAGAAAAAAATATTAAAAATGTCAAATACACCACCGGAACAAACTAACGCATCTCAAGTACAAAATTTGGCTACAGCAGTTGAAATAGTTTTAAGTGATAAAGAAAAAGAAAAGAAAAAATGTTCTAATGATAACAAAGAAGAAAAAAAGAGAAAATGTTCCATGGAAGAAATCGAAGAAGAGATCCTTGACGTAGAAATCCAAATAAAAGAGTTAAAGAAAAAAAGTATTTTATTTTTTTTATTAATTAATATTTTATTTTTTTATTTATAATATACAATATGATTAATGATTTTAATTAATAAAAAATATAGGAGAAAAAATTAGATGATGAATACATTGTAGCAAAAGAAAAAAAAAAGGAAAAACGATTGATAAGAGAATTGAAGCAATATGGGAATAAATAATATTTTAAAAGAAATTTTGCTATAACGAAATTATTTTTGCTCAGTTGGTTTTAATTCATATAATAAAAAATTTACAAGAGTATTTAGTTCGTTTTTAAAGTTTTTACTTTCAGTAATTTCTAATTTGTTTAGATTAGATATGAAAATTTGTACTTTATCAGATTCCTTTATACATTCGTATTCTTTTATCCAATCTTTTACTCTTGGTAAATAAATTTCTTTAATATTTTTTTGACAATTTAGTATATGTTCTTTTTCACAACAATCGTGATAAAATTTCTCAAAAGATGATTTATAATGTTTGAGTTGATTTAGGTTATTGTTAAAGAAATCTGTGATGCACTCATCTTCTGTTTCATAAGCAGGTTCTTCGTTAGATATTTTTTAAAAGTTATTCATTTTTTTTTTCTCTCGTCAATTAATAATATTTATAAATATGTAAATTATCAAATTACTAATTAAATTAATAATAAAATTATTTATAAATATATTATTAATTAATGAGAGAAAAAAAAAATAAAATAAAATATAGAAAAAAAATATATTATCAAGAGTAGTTTGATTCCTATATTGGGTAATCCTAATTCCAAAAAACGTTTTCAATTATA